AGGCTTAACACGTTAAGCGCCAAGCGAAATTTTAGAAAAATGTCCTTCAGGCCAAAGCGCCAAATTCATGTTTCCAACAAATAATGTTTCTAATCTACCGTCTACGTCAAAAGCTGACACAAGACGGGAACGACATTTACTGCAAAAAAAATGAAGTGAGACGGTATTGTAAAGGATGTTATAATAAAAAAATAAGGGGTGAAATACCAAAAAAAAAATATTAGAAAAGTTACTACATATTGTGACAGTTTTGAAGGAAATCCCCACTTTTGCTTTGACTGTTTCGGAACAAGTCATAAATAAATGAAATTATCTTATATTTTGTATCCCTATATCATAACTTATTTTATATATAAACATTTTCACTACAATCTTGTTTGTTTCTGTCAAAGTCATTGTGTAGATTTAGTAGGAAATAAATGATGTGAATAAAAAAAATGATTAACTCATTAAAGGTACAGCGGTCCATATCTAACGCTAAAATGAATTTAAATATGGACCTCTGGCTGTAGTCACCGTGAAAAGAAATTACATACAAAGCGGTCCATATGGACCGCCATGGCGTGATAGGCTTGTCAAGCGCCATGGCGTGTAATGTGTTAAGAGACAAAGTAATTGAATTATTTAGAGGTGGTGTTAGCAATGTTTACATTTCTCAAAGATTAAAAATGAACGAAGGGACGATTTCGAAAATTATTAGTAAATATCAAAAATACGGATCAACAGCAACGCGACCCAGGTGCGGAAGACCGAAAAAAAAGATTATGTTTTGAATCGCTACATTAAACGTTTGTCCCATGAAGATCCTCAAATGCCAGCCATACAGATTTTCAAAAAAATCGTAGGAGAGGGTGCCGGGAATCTTTCTGTCAGAACAGTGCAGAGACGCTGAGTGGATTTTGTGGTTATGGAGCGATGAAAGCAAATTTATCTTGTTTGGATCTGGCATTATGTGAGACGTCCAATACGAAAAAGTATCAGTTGCCAATAGTTAAGCATGCTGGAGGCAACACAAGGTTTGGAGCTTTTTTTCTAGTTATGGAACGGGTCCAATTGTTAAAATTGTTGGGATAATGACAAAGATATTCTTAGTGATGACGTGCTCCCTTTTGCTGAAGAAGAAATACCTTTACGATTGACATTCCAGAAAGCTAATGACCCCTAACATACCTCAAAATTCGTAAAGGACTGGTTAAGACTAAAAAATGTGAATGTTTTTACATGGCCTTCGCAATCCCCGGACCTAAACCCTATAGAACATTTCTGGGAGCATGTTAAAAGACAACTGACAAGAAAAACTTTTAAAAATAGGAACGATTAATTTGATTATGTAAAAAATATTTGTCAAAATATCCCAACAGACGTCTATAAAAAATTGGTGTCTTCTATGAGCAGCAGATGTCAGGCAGTGTTGAATGCCAAAGGCTATGCTACCAAATATCAGTTAAACAGTATTTTTTAAATTTTTGTAAAGTTATTGTATTTAATTTAGTAAAATAAAATATGTTCCCATACTTATGTCGTCTCATTTTTGGTCATCAAATAATATGAAGGTATTTTAATGCTGGTCTGTAGTAACACACCAAACACAAATTGTCATTTGTATCCTCAAGACTGTGAGCAACCTATATGAGAAAAAAAATAATCCTTAATGATAAAGAATAAAAAATTAGCCCACTTTTTGCAAATTACGGAGAATGTTTCCAAATTTTTGTCCGCTACTGCACATAGTTTACCTGCTGTAGTCTCTTGGTAAGATAAGATGCCATAAATTTACATGCACTTGAAGAGAAACCAAGTCTGCCCAGCTTAATTACCAGCTTGCTATGGTTACCCCTATCGAAAGCTTTAGCACAATCTATAAACACAACATTGAACTATTGGTTACTAGAAACAGTTGAGGAGAAAAATATTTTATAAATTGTTTCAGGATATCTTGATACAATGTTTCACAAATTTTAACAGTAGAATCGAGAACAGAGGTAGGCCTGTAATTATTAACTGGCTTGAATATTGGAGTTTTTAAAATTTTCAGGAAATGTGCTTGTCCTTGAAGATATTATCATTAATGGGCCACTCAATATATCTGAACACGCTTTGTAAATATATCATGAGATTTTATCATTACCAATTGCCATTTTTTGTTTTAACCTTTTGATACTTGCTTTAACCTGTGCCTCGGTGATCTGGGAAAATGTATAGTCACTATAACACATACCAAAATTTCTCAGACTGCTGAAATACTGACCCAAAATGCGATGCAAATATGTCAGCTATCTCCAAGGAACCACTAATAGCACAACCCTCATACATTAGACCTTACGAATTCTCAAAAGCTTCTGGGGTCAATGTTGATATTATTTTCAATTACCTTATCGTAACTCCTACATTCTTGTACAGTTTGGTACTTAATTCTGGTCCATAAACTACGGCACTTTTTTAACTTCTAAGCTAGCTTTATCCTTTTAATCGGTCTGTGATGACGGTTTTTTAATTTAATGTTTTTCTTCAGTGCCAAGGAAAAGTAAACTGAATAATTACTACCATTATAAATGTCTCTATTCATTGCTTTTTTGGGCATTCGAAAGTTGCCCTCGATTAATAAAAAAAAAGACTCACAATACTTTTTCTCCAATCATATTCAGTTACATTACATGACCAGCTGTTAGTGTTTCCAAAGCCGACCAATAGTAAACATACCATAATGTACGACAGTTAATTCATGCATATTCAAGACCATAATTTCAATGTTTGATAAAACATAAAGATACCAGATCGTACAAGACTCAGATACCATGTATGATGTATACACAAAGTCCATTTCTCCAGAATTGCGTGGAAAGTAGAGAGTCAACCTACTTTACGACATTTTTTATACTACGCGTCTAAATTTCGAAACAAATAATTAATTAGGACTTAACTTGATTACTAGAAATAGCCCAAATTGTTTGTCGACTAAAACCATGGCTTAAATTTCCAATAAATCGTGAATTCTGGTTAATTGAATGCAAAACCAATAATGTTCAATTCACGAGGAACATGCGACAAAAAATAACAAATACGTGTGGGTTTGGTATGCCGACATTGCGGTGGCATTTACAATTATTACCGAAATATCAGCATACGAATGTATGGTCAACAAATGAAATGATTGCGTAAACAAATACTGCATGAGGTCATTTCTGTATTCGTATGTCTTTTTAATAAATACGCGATTCAAGTTCAACCGGTCTATGAATATGTGCGAATAATGTCAATAGCACTCGAGTACGAGGATAGTAATAGCATGTTCTTGGTCTACGATTTGCAATCACGTTTACTGCTATTTCTGTCAAGAGTGAAGGGAACGCTCAACAATTTACATATGATCTGAATAGGCCATAAAATATTTACATTTAGCTTAAGAGATTAGATAGAGGTTAGAGAGGGGAAACAAATTATCGTGATAAAAACGAGAATAGTGTTTGTAAAATATTAGAAACGAGCACCTTCAAGATGACTGGTTGTTGAGAATTTTGAAGCATGCTTTATTATTAAATACATTGTCACGCTTTCAGTTTATTTTGTCCAAATCGGAAAAGTTTTGATCCAGATTGCAGATGCTCAAGAATTTTTAAAAATGTTCTCATAATACGTCTTACATTACAAAGTTTCCATTTTTGTTCTCAGTGGTTATAAGCTTCGATGTTTATCCGATTAAATCACCAAAGTTTTTGTGTAGTGTATTGAAAGAACATTCAGATAATTTGCTCTTTTATGGACTTTAACAAACGCTATTTTAGTTCTATGAAGGCGCCCTACATGAGCTGTAGATTTGTATTATTTGAATGCGAAATGTGTCTAACGGATCAAGATCGCATCAACCGTTTACCTTGACCACCACGATCGCCTGACCTATCTCCAATTGAACATGTCTGGGACATACCTGTAGACTTTACCAGCTCTTACTCACAAAGTTGCAGTAGCCTGGAATGAGGTACTCCAACAGGATATCGACCACCTTATCAGCACGATTCCCAGGCGTGTCAATGAGTGTATTAGAAAACGTGGATCCTCAACACATTAGTGAACCAACTTCTGCAGTCAGTTGACGAATCCAGCTGAAAATTTAATTATTTTACTTGTAAGGGACGCTGAACATACATATATGCCAAAAATTATTAAAATCGGATAAACATACGTAGGTTTCTGTCACTCAATATAGCATCTATAAGAAAAAATAAAATTGATGATTGAGGACAAGAGGCAAGAAGTCATTTTGAAGTTATAGTTAGGCGATTTCTTGAAAATTCGGTTTCTCTCGTCTATCTCCAAAAATACTCGGAATTGTGAAACTTTCTTAGTTACCTAAACGCGCAACTTTGCCTTCATCTATCCCTAAAGGAATGCACACACTGACGCGAATTAATCCGCCGCGACAACGAAACGAATATTTCGCGACATCGGCGATAACAGCAATCGTCGCTCCTATCACATTGACGCGAATATTTCGCAACACAAAAATTTCACAATATATTTTTTCTTTTGATATATGAAAAGATGGATTCTTCAAGCTCTGAAGAAGAAGCAATACTATTATTGACTGCCTCAAAAGGTGAGGAAGTTAAAATTGAAAACCTACCTGTAATATGTATCTCTTGCCCAATTTCATCCCATAACTTATCTTTCTTATATTTTTGTAATCTTCCTGGCTTGAATCTTATAAAATGGGATATTTTTTCACAAACTCTATTAACCTTTCAGTTAAAGTCATCTTTGATTCGCAACGAAAGCGACAGAATTATACGCTGAAGACCTTGAGTCGACGAATATGTCGAAAATGTTGCCATCGCACCGAATTATTCGCATCAATGTGTGCATTCCTTTACCGTTTTCGAAATCCCAATGGTGACAGTCGAATTTGAGACGCACTTCTTTAGTTTGAAAGCTGGTTTAAGCGAACTATAATAAGAGTAGGAATCATTCTTTTTTTGGTATTACCTCGATTTCTTTCTTTCCAGCCGGAGACAGCGATGCGACAGTGGAACTCCGCGAAGAAAAGTACGAGATTCACATCGAACGCTCTCAAACGGGCCTGGGACTGTCAATCGCAGGCGGCCGAGGGTCAACGCCCTTCAAGGGCGACGACGAAGGTATCTTCATATCGAGGGTAACAGAGAGCGGTCCAGCGGACCTCGCAGGGCTCAAGGTCGGCGATAAGGTACTCACTGTCAATGGTGTCAGCGTGGTGGGGGTTAGTCACTATGACGCTGTAGAGGTGCTGAAAGCATCGGGGGCGGTGCTTATACTCGAGGTCACTAGAGAGGTAAGTTGAAGTCCTGTATGTACAAAAACTTGAGATCTGTACTCGCCCACCTCACTATATGCGTAACACAAATTTTACCTCACCAGTCACGTGTTAATAAAATCTTCAAATGCTTAACCATATCCTTATTTATATTCCAGGTAACCCGACTAGTCCGTCCCCTGAACACTCTCTCCGGTAAGACCACGCCTACGAGCATCCGAAGCGCAGCCCCGCCCCCTCTAACGCAAGTCCTGCCTCCTGCATCTCAAGCAACGCCCCCTACAGTCGAAGACACGCCCACCGTCCAGAAAGTGCTCGTCCACACGACCCTAATTCGCGACTCGCGAGGGTTGGGATTCAGCATAGCCGGCGGCAAAGGGTCGCAGCCTTTCAAGGCCGACTCTGACGCCATCTACGTCTCTCGTATCACGGACGGGGGCGTGGCTGATAAGGATGGGAAGCTTGCGATTGGAGATAGGGTGGTGTCGATCAACGGGGTGGATCTGACTGGGGCCACGCATAATCAGGCTGTCGGTATGTTAACAGGTAAGGAACAGTGATAAGATATACCCTGACAGTTGATATTTTCCTTTTCAGGAACGAGTACGTTTTCGCTGATGTGCGATAAAACATCAACGAAAACGTAAAGAGAAGGAGAAAAGTACCCACTATTTAATAAAGAATTTTAAGTACTGCCCTGTCACGTATTTTTCTCGTGAATACTGGCTGAAGCTGTAGTCGTTTCATTTTGAAATACAACTTTGTTATGATCTTCCTAAGTTAGCACCATTTGGGACTGTCTAGATCTTCTACTGTGTCCATCCCTGCACGGTATAAACAAACCTATGCAGCTGGGAATGAAAACATTCAGGATCAGGACAACGATCTGAATACACTCGCGACAGCTTACACACGTCAACGACGTAATAGGGAAATAAAATATTTGGAAATCATCAGCAAGAATGCACATTACATCAATATTTCAAAATATGTAACAATAAAATGAAGTTTAAATGTTTTGCTAAAGTTAAAATTATACCCTAGGTATCCATGCACTGAATAAAATGAAGTTTCAGTCAATATTTGTCTAACTGTGGCATCATATTTCTTTTCAGGCAAAACATTAAAAACATTCATTGCCCAATACCCTGGTCCAGTTTGACACCTATTCAGACGCCAGTATGCTGGCATCATGTTCTGCTTATGCCTCGTGCCATAACCATGCATATCTTCATGGCTTCTGTAAAGATTAATACTTCTCTTCAGGAAGATTTTCTAGAATGTACTGTGGAGGTATAGTGGTGATACCCAGTTGTTCATATGCCTGACGGCAGTCCTCTCTAAATCCCAGACATTCGAGTAGCCTCAATGCCTTTCGCTGCAAACCAAACACCCGGTGTGTGTCAGCTGCATCACCCCAGACAAGGATTGAATATGAAAGATGAGAGTGGAATATAGAGTGATAAGCGGAATGCTGAGTCGCTGCTGAAACACATTTTGAAAAGTTTCTCAGAATATAGATACGTTTATTCAGTTTCTTACACAAGTTAACGTGTGCTCCCCATTGTAGACTCCCAAAAATCTAATCTCACCCACTCCCTCATTCAGATCACCTGATTTTTTTTATTGTCATTCAGAACCAACTTATTTGCAGCAAACCACGGCTCAGTCCTGTTCCGTGCTTCCACGGAGTGTATACTTAGCCTTCGCTTCAATGTTTGGAAGAGCATTTATATAAATTAAAAACAGAATTGGACCCAGTACTGAGCCGTGTGGTACTCCAATATTTCACACTTTCCGTTGAAGACACCATTTATATTTTTGTAGCTGCTGCAAGAGGATTTCGTGGTTGACTAAGTCCAACGCCCTGCTCAAGTCACACAAAAGTACAGAGTTAAATTGTCGTTTATGAAAGGACTCAGTAACTTATGATATGAGATTTGAGATACCCAAAACTGTACTTTTGTTCTTGCGAAAACCAAATTGACACTGAGAAAACATATTGTTAACTTCATAAAAATTTACTACCTACTTGTAGTGCCATGCACTTTTCTACAATCTTATATTAATTAGTTTAGTAAGTGGTATTATTATGATATTTTTGAGTGCTTTGATCAATTTTACATTCAGTCCAAAGTTGTCAAAGCTGTTTTTATTTTTTAAGCTGATAATAATATCCCGTACTGTGTTCAAAGTGACTTCTGAATAAGAATATTTGATTAATTTGGATGGTATCTGTGAAAAGTAATCATTTAAAAGTATTAGGATTGATATTAGGAAGTGGAGCAGTATTTTTCTGTATACCACGATGATCATTTATAATTTTCCACATTGACCTTCTCGGATTATAAATAGGGGTTTTCGCGTTTGTTACACAGTCGGACTGACCCATTCAGATTTTTTCGTTTTTCGGTTATCTTGAGGCTTTGGTGTATGTCTTACTAGGGAATTTTACCTCTTGTTGCAAAGCTTACGCCCTCTGTAAGGACACTGACATATGGGGTTCGACCCTCTCTATGTCAGAAATACTGTTCAGATAAAAAAAATGGTCAAGGCAAAATTTGTAGGTTTGAACAGGAGACTTTAACTGGAACCGTATATTTTTGGCCCACCGGAGAAGACCTTTGTCATGGCCTTCAAGGTCATTTAGAGATCAGCTTGAAATTTTTGTAATAAAGAATCGTATGTTTTGGACTCCGCAGATGTAAATAGCCAAAAATGTTTACGCTTAGAAATGACCTTGATTCTGACAACCTATAATATGTTGATGTAACCCTGACCTTGAATTTAATTGACTTCTAAGCATAAACAACTTTCCATAAAAGGAAAATGAATTATTGCTTCTAAGGAAATTACTGCGATCCTAGTTGGCGACATGAGTGTGGCGATGGAAATTGTATGCGAACCTCGAAATACAGTATAGGGTTAGGCGTCTTCTTGGAGCAAATATTAAAAATAAAAATATCGTATCGTTCCTATAGAAATCTGAATGACATATTTTGTTCCAGGACTGGAACGGTTCGTAAGACTGACAGTAGAAAGGGAACTGCCCTTGGATGCAAACAGCAACAGTCCCAGCCCGAGTCCTGGACCGCAACAGTCCCCTAGACTGTTTGGCCTCCCTAAGCCCTACTCTGGCCTCTACGCAGCCAATAGTTACATGGCCAACAGGCCAAGTTACGTCACTGGCTTCAGGAAATCGTCTGATAGCGACAAGAAGGTGAGTCATCTGACCAGTAGTGCATATTTATAGGGTCCTACTTAAAAAAATGGCGTCACGTAGATTCGCTCTCTACTTCGCAACCCTTCGAAACATCTAGTACAATTTTCCATGTGGTGCAATGACATCAAAAAGACGTAAGTTCTCTCAGAACCATTAGTGCACTATTTAGGCTTTTCACGAAAAAAAATGCATATTGTGCAGCTATGATCGTGTCCGTACACGGTAGCCTCATTTCTTTGGAACTCTGGGTGAAACTGTTTGTCAACAATGTTTGGTAATTGATTATGATAGCTCTTGATATGTACTTATATACAGGGTGCGCCATCTTTTATGTCGGTATGAAAACGCAAAACTGATTTCTATACATATATCGGGTATTTTTATTAAATATGGTCCTTTACAATTCATTGGGACTAGTTTTTGAACACAACATCTATCAAGTGGCCACCTTTATTGGCCAAAATAAAATTTGCCCGTTTTACTGCGTTTTCCATTACTTTTTCGAGCATTCCTAGTAGTATTGCGGCGATTGAGTTCTTCAGTGGTCTGGGACTTGCTGGCGTACACTTGACTTTTCAAAAAACCCCACAAGACGAAGTCCTGTGGGGACAAATCTGGAGACCTGGGTGGCCAGTCAATGTCACCTCTTTTTGACATCAGACGTCCAGGCAATTTTCGTTGCAGAAAATGGATTATTTCATTTGCAGTGTGGCATGGCGCACCGTCTTGTTAAAACCACTAACCATCAAGACCTTTTTCACGCATTTGTGTGCAGACATAATGAGCCAACATCCACCGATATCGATTTCCATCGACTGTTTCGTTTTCGTTGAAGAAAAATGGCCCAATGATGGTTTTGGCGGAAACAAGATTCAGTTAACCCAAGAACTACAGCCTAGTGACCATGAAAATCACCGACAATACAGGCATGCAATATTGCAGTTTAATACCCAAAATAACGATTTTTACCAACAACTGATAATGAGATAAGTAGAATTGTCGTAACAGGGCATTAGAGATCCCTCGTGTCATCCATCAACGACCACTACATCCTCGTCGAGTCACAGTGAGGTGCGGTGTTTGGTGTAGAGCTGTCATTGGACCTTACTTCTTTGAAGAAGCTGCAGGTAATTCGCTTACAGGACAATATTACGGAAGCGATTGAAAATATTCCTCCGGAAACCTACCAACAAGTGATGGAAAACATAATCAAGAAGGCTCAGGTTTGCGCGGCTTCTAGAGGCGGACAAGTTTCAATAAATATTAAGATGAAATAAGGGATGTATTTTATTATATTTCACAAACATTCAAGATACAAACTAGTCGGACGGATTTTAAAACCTCACATTTTTCGCTGTCCGCTTCACGTGAAATGCCCCATACATCAGAATCATAGCAGGGTTTAAATCTCTCTGAGCAACGCATGTTTGCCGACTAGATTTATTCCAACCTCTAGTCTTGGTACCGTACAAGAACCATCCGCTTTTAAACGCATGCGCTGACTGGTTATGACTCCAGAATTGTTTCTAGGCTGGAAGGTGGTTGGGACGATTTTGGAGTCGTTTTTATAACTAGGAAGTGGCAAATAACCCCTTCGTCACTAGTCATCGCAATGAAACCTGGATACTATCAATAAATTATCTTTAAATAAACAATACACAGGCTTTCAAAGCACGGTTGCAGTTTGGTTGGAGGTTATAGCGGCAGTCACCTCTGTCAACAGTTCTTCTGCACAGATCATTTTCTTTGGTTGCCCTTCCAATGGAGGTACCGAGTTCACCGTGACAAAACCGTTCCAGACCGTTTCCAGCATTGGTTGGAACGAAATGTGCAAAATCTCAATTTGACTGTCCGTGACTTAGCATATGGACGTGCCACGAAAAAAAATCATGTTTTCTCTTCCATACCTACTAGATGTATTAACAGGCCCAATATTGAAGTTTTTTAAAATTTTTCGCTATTTCAGTAAAGAATATAATAAAAAATACAAAGACGTATAGTAATTCCTAACGGGAAGCGGATAGATCAGCGCGTCATAAAATGGTGATTTCGAACGAGAAGCGGATAAATCAGCAGACGACGCTTTCCCCTTAAGGACAGACAGATTTCGTAACAAGCTCCTCCGTTGCGAAAGGGATAGAATTAGAAATCATGTGGTGTGGAGAAAATGGTCACTTGCCAGCTCTACGGTTGAGTGTAATTATCTGCACGGTTAAATCCCCAAAAGGATAAGGAAAAGGCTCGGACTCTGAGAACCACCAAGGGGGCCGATTTCTAACGTAAACTACACCACCACCCGTTGAATCCGCAACTCAAAGTGTGAGCTATTCACAGAATCGGGCTGTGGGCCGCAGACAAAATTTCTCCACCGGAGCACCGGAAATAGCACCAAGTCACCTTCAGCTCTCCTATTTACGGGCGACAAAAATTATAAAAAATGACCTCCAACGAGATGGAGAGAAGAGTACGATTTTCTACCTTAAAATAATTAGTCTGAGAGAAGTGGTTTGTTATAAAAATGAAATTCGATGTTTTTAAGAACGGCTATAGAACTATTATTCTAAATAAGAAAAACGTTGTAATAATTTACTTTATCAAGATGTAGTTAGTTTTTAGTCGACCATAAAAAGAAACTGTAACAAGGGTCTCCATTTTTTTAAGGTACGCCGGCTACAAAAACGACTATGCGCGTAACCCCCTTGCTATTTCTCTAACGGACTAGAACCAGTTACATAGTTCCAAAAGGACAGAAATGACTAAAAGTCTGCTATCATGTGACAAAGCGACTATAAGTAGGGCTGCAGTCCGGCATAAAATTACATAATAGAACTGCTGGAATCTTGGCAGAACAACCGTGAAACTCTATCTACACGTCTAAAGTATATGAATATATCAATTTAAAATCTTTTCTGATATTGCAATGTAGCTGCATTCATCCATATTTCAAAACATCCTCAATATATCTTCGGGTTTTTTAAAAGATCTGTCAGTTTGTCTCCTGCAATGATATATTGCCTTTCAAATGCAATGATTTCGACATTAATCAAACTAGAATATCATTCATTTCCATGTCATGGGCTTGGCGACCATGGATTTTACACATAAATCTTGCCCTTGACAACTGGTATTTGAACATTTATGTGAATGTGATTGCAATATACCTAGGTGTAGTAAAATGACATTGATACGTTATTGATTGTCAATACCGACGATCGAAGACCATACCTTGTCCACAACATATTTGTCCTTGAACGAACTGTTTGTGTTCCAACCATTTGACAGTCCAACAAAATATTAAAATGCAAATATCTCAAAAATGGTATGTAGAACCCAAATAAATGAAGAGTGCATTTTACTTCGTACGCCACTGGGCGACGAAGTATTGTAATTGCGAAAAATGTCGAAAATGGGATATTATAGTTTTTTGATGTTATATGACATGTACAAGACGAAAAACAATGTCACTCATTTCCGTTGGTCTGTCTATCCGCTAATCTTCGGGCCGCCTATAACTAACGTGTGATTTTTTAGGAGGTATAGGATTTTATTTTAAAAAAAACACAAAAAATTTGAAAAAACGATTAAATCTTTATTTGAGTCGATAGAACGGTCGATATAATTTAATGTTTAAAGATTATTTCATGTAAATGATGGCCGCGGCTCCGCTTTAGATGGCCCATGCGCAAGGTCCAATTTTGGCACACTCTCTCCAACATATCGGCCGGTATCTCACGAATAAATGCTTCAATATTGGCTTCCAGTGCGTCAATCGTTGCTGTTTTATCCCTGTAGACATTATCCTTAACATGGCCCCACAAGAAATAGTCCAATGTCGTTAAATCACACGATCTAGGCGGTCAATTGACGGGCCTCAAACGTGAGATAAACTGTTCACCGAACTCGCCTCTCAATAGGGCCATTGTTTCGTGTGAGGTGTGGCATGTGGCACCGTCTTGTTGAAACCACATGTCAACCAAGTCCAGCTCTTCCATTTTGAGCAAAAAAAGTTTGTTATCTTCGCACGGTAGCGCTCGCCATTCACAGTTACGTTCCGGCCATTGTCGTCTTTGAAGAAGTACGGCCCGATGATGCCACCGGCCCATAATCCACACCAAACAGTAATTTTTTCGAGATGCATTGGTAGCTCTTGCAATGCTTCTGGCTGGTCTTCACTCCAGATGCGGCAATTTTGCTTATTAACGTACCCATTCAACCAGAAATGAGCTTCGTCGCTGAACACAATTTTTCGATAAAAATGTGGATCTTCCTCCAACTTTTTGCCAGCGCCCATTCACCAAATTGGAAACGTTGTAAGAGGTCGGGAGGCTTCAATTCTTGCACCAGCTGTACACCAGGTGGTTTAATGTCCAATAATGTAAACTGGGTTCGAAATTTAGTCACAAGCTTCCGAATAGCTCCCTCAGTAGGCCGACCAAATTGCCCATAAATTGGAAGCAGTGCTCGATGCACTCTCTTAACCGAGCATGAATTTTGATAGTAACATTCAATAATTTGCAAGCGTTGTTCGTTCGTAAGTCGATTCATGGTTAAATTATAGACCAAACTGAACAAGTTTGACAATGACACAAGACACGAATCACGCGTCATCTGTCAAAAACAGTGTTGCCAAAAAGATACTAGCAAAAAAATCACCCATTATTATGCCAAGAACGAAATAGCTTCGTAGTTCATCATCTTTGACGGTAGCATATTTATACGCTTCCAACCCCAGTAATTATACATGTATATATAATTAATTATATTTCACACGTCAAAGGTATCCTCGTGCATTTGCGCTTAGGACTTTAACTTTACATGAATCTGCTGTGAAAAAGGCGGTTGCTATTTGAATGTTTAAACTTGATCCTCTAATGACCTGTGATGTCAGTGACTGGGTTATCGTTGAGGTTATCGACATATTACCTTTTTGATATTCTAAAACTTTTATTACAAGTTTCACATCAAAAAATATCTATGCTGTGTTCGGGATGATGGGATATTTAATACAACCTGCATTAAGGGACAAGGAA